GGATAAGCTGGGGTAATTACTATGTGCCGGGAGGGCGTTCCAAGGCCGTGACAATTGAAAGGAGAAAACGTTCCATCGACATTCCAGTCAGCTGCACTGCGTGACCAGCTTAAGCTGATAACCCTGCAGAGATGTGTTTTGACTGAGTTAGAAAAGAGAATAGCATATGTGGTTGGGTTTCTCAGTAACTGATACATCATTTTGACATCGCCCCTTAAACGCTGATAACGTCCGCTGTAAATGTTGAGGGTTTTAAGCCTGCGTGTGTAGGCAAGGTGTGACCAACCTCTGACGTTATTCGTCGCCCTGCGTTGTGCGGTATGGACCGCGGTGAGGTGGTGCTGCCAGGCTTGCCACGCTTGAATGGGGTATTCCATGTGCATTTTTGCAAAGACCGAAGCGTTAAACTTCCCGAAAACTCAATGAAGCAGGCCGAAGTGCTGGTTTGCTTTCATTGATGCCTTTTAAGTCTGCTTTGAGCACTCAAAGTCCTCCTGGATGAGCACGCCAGGGTCGCACTCATGAGAAACCTGCTGTACAATTTGTGGCCCCAAGCGGTAGTTGTGAGTACTCTGATGTTGTACGCTCGGAAGTTTGCACTTTGTGTTGTTGAACTGCAGCATGTGCTTGATGGACTGTGTAAACGCTTTATCCAGGTCGTCCTGTGGGCCTGTATGGTCCTCCACTGAAGTGAGTGCACACCATATCTTTAGATCAGAGAAAAGTAGTAGGGAGAGCTGAATGTTGTAGGTAGAAATTCGTCACATCTAGGCTCACTCGGACAGACGTCACAAGCCCGGAAAAGCACTGTACGCGCGTTTCATCCTTTGGGGAATCATCAGCAGTGCGCAATCCATCGGACCCTGGTAGGGCTCGAACCCGCAACTCGGCTGTTGCCAGTCCGTGGTTGAGAACACTGAGCTACGGGGAACGGCAACGACCATCGTCCATAAGTTACTCGACGTGATTTAGCGCCGCTCACTATCCACTGACTTACACGTTACTGCCGTGCGGAGGACAGGATAGCTCCCTCACCAAGTGACGAGCTTACCAAAATAAGCAGCCAATTAACTCACTGCATTATAAGCAGTTTGGTCTGTGTATTGATTACAGAAGAGTAGTAGAAAGAGTTAAATGTTGTAGGTAGAAATTCATCTGCAACTAGCAAAGCGTTTGAAGACAAGATATTTGCAAGACCATGTATGAAAATCAGGAAGAGGTATGGGTTGAGTACCGAGCCCCGAGGTACGCCGCACTGAACCTAGGTTGGTTTCGTCAGGGTGCTGTGAACCCTCACATTCAGTCGATATTGAAGGAGAAAGTCGCCTATCCATCACAGAAACGGCTCGCCGATTCCATAGTACTGGGATTTATGCAGTAGATTGCGATGGTCCAGACTGTCGAATGTCTTTGAGAAGTCAATGTAGGCTGCATCTACTCCTACACTAGCGTCCACAGATTCCGTTTATACGAGCCGTAAACAGATGAGTAGTACAAGACGTAGGTTGGCGGAATACGTGCTGCTCCGGAACGAGGGTTTTGTTATTCTCCAGGTACTCCATGAGCGCCTCAGATACTATAGACTCCAGGACCTTGGAGATCACAGGAATAAGTGTAATCGGGGAATAATTCTCTGGTTTTGCACGCCCAATACGTTTGTAGAGGGGAGTGTTGATCACGTGCTTCAGCATCTTGGGGACTTGCATCAATTTAAAACACCGCTGAAAGAGTCTAGCTTCCGGTATGGGGAGGCGTGAAAAACCCCGGAAATGCCAGTTATAGAGTCTAACATGGACACTGTTGTCGTGGGCATTTTATTATGTGAAGAGATACTTCGATGCATAGGTAACCATTGAGATCATCACGATCCGCAGCGTTTGATGCAGCAATGTATTTGAACAATCTTTCGAGAACCAGTGACTAGAAAAAAGATAGTGAATAGCAGCCAACCTAGCAATGTTTGGGCGAAGCTCATACCTGCTTCCTATTCTCCCTTCCAAGTTTTTAATTGCTGAGATGCTCTGTTGTTTCCACACCAACGTACGGCTCTGGAACTTGAAGTCGTTTTTGCTTTGCTTACTTTCAAGGGTCACTTTTTGGTATCTCATGATGTGAATCAAGACAAGGTCGAATACAGAGACCACTGAAGGTAAAATATTGCTACTCTTGACTTCCATTTAACGTAAAGGCGGGCTGAGCAAATGGAGCGAATATGAATTTCATACTACGGTGACCTAGACTTTGAGTTCACTGATAACAAGGAGGTTCATATTGTCAACGCACTTTGGTGCTGCCTGTACCTAAGACCCGGTACAAGTTGGTTAGCGTATGTCACGTACTTCCATCGTCTAACCTCCACCCTAAAAATTGCTTTGGCATATCATACAGATACGACCCTATAATATACGGCTTCAGTCATCACCCTGGCATGTTTTGACGAGCACTAAATGCCAAATTGCAAGGGTTACTGGATGGTATACTAAATTTCGGCCACGTTGCTTCTTCGACACGATTCAGTACCAGAATAAAAACCAGCTACTCTACACGTCGCGTTCACCACCGATGGAGTTACCAGCTAGACGGTAACTAGAACTACGTCTTTTGGCTGCAACACCAATACAACAGTACTGTTCATCGCGTCTGATATGCAGAGTATTCCGAATGGGTGATCTATCGTTCTCAGCGGGAGACATTTTATCGTCCTTAGATGAACAATCACTTGATGTTGCCTGATGGGGTTACGAGAGTTTAACAGCGATTGCGCCAAAATACGGTTCTTACATGGAAGTGTAAACTGCTGAGATATTTATTAGGATGCACATGCAAGGGGTCATCAAGTGCGGACTCTTGGAAATACTAGGCTACCAAATAGAACCATGCAGCATAACTGCCACGTGAAAATAGAAAAAAAACATCAACACGGTCTATCCATGAACTTCTGTTCAAATCTTAAACTACTTCGAAGTCACGTCCACAAACTCGATGACTTGCAAGCTGTGATTCCTTTCTTACATACCTCACTGAACAAGAAGCGACTGACGCCTTTCGTCGGCTATTCGTTACCAATGTATTGCGCACTAATGCTTGGACGATTGACGCGGGTGATGTTTCAACTTGGGCTAAGACAATTTCCACTACAGATGCAAAAATAATAATTATAATATACTTGTATACTTCATGAACCGAGAACTCGTGTCTGTGGAGGCACAGATAAATATGCACCAAGGTAACAGTGCTCTTGCATGAGCGATACGCATAGGCTCAAGGTTGAAGCCTGAGATCCATATAATATCGATCAAGTGGATGCTTACGGCGAAAGTTAGGGGTTAACGTTGTGGATATTTGGACATTTTGGGGCCCCTCGCAGAATAGTTCACTGAGTGCTTTTTCATGTGAATGTAGTCACTATAGTATTCAGGTCAAATTTCGAGTATGTGACGGAATGTTACTACATATTCCCTTGATCAGTGTGATTGGTAGTTTATTCCACATATAGCTATATCTGGCCATGAAGGAATTGGACCGCATATTTGTTCTAGTCTTTGATACAACCAGTGTTCAATCTTTCTTGACAAGCTGTCGAACTGAGCTGTTTTGCAGTTCGTGTTTGGGTAAATAAGAATAGGTTCTTTGTGCAGCAGATTGTGGTGCAGCAATCCTCGCATCAAAAGTGATAGGTTTGAAGTTTTTTGCAACCTTCTCCACAATGCATGGCAGTATGCTTACCAAAAGTAGTTTTGTGAACCATCTCTGCCGGTGTTCCAGATCTATCCTGTATCTCTTTCTCATGTTAATCCGTATTGGGCCGCAGTACTCAAGGATGGGGATAGTGAGTGGCTTACAATACTTAGATGTAGCATGGGATCAGTGAATTTCTTCGGATGCACTAACTACAGATTGTTTGGCATGTGAGCAGAATGCTGGCGCACGCGCTGTACGCCTAAACGCATTGTTGACGAGGATGATACGCTTGGCTGAACAGTTCCCTCAGTTTTCAAACGACGCACCAACGAAATGACGGTTCCGACGATGTATGAGTAAGGGAACCTCGCTCTCATTCGCAAAGTTGGAGGTCCTGTAGATCCTGTTAAACACCATCTAACAGTGCTCACTCCCGTGACTTCCAGTCGTCGAGGTGCCTACAAGAACAATATAGATTTGACCGTACCACAAACCCACTACTTGTCGGTTTAAGTTGTACTTATAACGTCGATGACAGCGTAGAAATTTATGCAGTTTAGCTGGAATTCTCAAAGGTTTTCGACAACCTGAATACCCACATTCATTTTCACTAGCTGTGAACTTGCTCATCCGGTCCCGGATTTGTAGCCAATTATAAAATCCATACTGCATCCCGGCCCAAATGGCAAAAGCATTCCTGCACTAAAAGTGACTAGGTAGCTCCAAATTATGCCATCCACACACAAAGATTATCAGAGTATAAAAAACTAAAGTGCCTTAAACAGCAACTTCAGCATCAATGAAAATAAAATAGAAATCTCTGTTTCGAACTCTCACGGCACACTGGGAACTCGAGTTAACTATGCACGTCTTCCTTCGCACGGTGTGCACCTGAACACCTGAACATCTAGTGTATAGAATGCCAAGACTCTTGTTGACGGCAGCAAAATATTGGAAGCATATGTAGGCATATGTATCTAGAACTACAGCTGACACTTAGATTTGTACTGAGTCACTCGACAAGTCACAGTGAACAATAGGACGACTCGCAATAAGTATCCTGTAACTAACATACCCTATATAGTTTTCTAGCAACCTAAACCAGTACCCAGCGGATTACGACAAGATATGCCCATCAGATTCTAGTAAACATCGTTTTCCATTTGTGAGCTGTGAATGTATCGCCTTACCACCTCGCCCAAGAAAGATGGAAAACCTTGTGTATCACCTTGTGAATCTGACAGTTGTGGAGAATTCAACTCAACATTGAAGCCAGTAAATCGGAACTACAGAAGCATAAGTCTGTAGTGCACTGCTAGATGATGGGATTTCATTTGCTAAGGAACCTAAAACTTCAGGTGAAAAACGCAGCCAAATCACAGTTAAGCTCAGAATACAAACTGCTCTGCTTCCAACTTATCCATCCGATGCAAAGTAAGCAGAAACCCAATGCCAATATTACGGATTATGTTCAGTCGGATGTCGAGCTAGGGCACGTTGCACGCACGCAGGCAGCAACAGCTCCGCACGTTACCGAGCACGACATTGGCGCGAATTCGAATAAATATGCTCGGCATTCACGAAATGAATCAGAAAGTGAAAGAAAGCTTGAGTTCGAACTAGTACTTAAAGGTTAGTGAAATGAGGTTGTAATTACCACAAGTGGAATAATCACAGGCTATGATTGCACAGACAAAAGAAATGTGACTTCCGGTCTACACCATGAATGCGAACTGTTCACTACCATCGCGTAATGTTAATAATGCAAGTTTTTCATGAAGGCAGTGTTTCAATTCAGTGCAAGCAGCTGTTTGACATACATTATTGTCTGTCAACATTACTATTTAACAGCAATCACAGAGAAAAGTGGTTACCTCCACTGTATTGAACACAATTTCACCGGATTCCGCAGAGCTCAGCGAGCTACTTTTTCAACGAAATAGACCAAATTTTTTTAAACGCACTTCGTTTATTCACTCCGAACAAGCCCGTTAGATCAGACTAGGTATGGGAAAGCAAAATGGACTGCTATTTGTCCTCGAAGAGCGTGTTTCGTTGCATTTCTGTGTCAACCCAACCTTATCATCTGGTATCGAACGATGACTGCAACTGTTATAGGCTACTTCAAATACTGTTTAACAAACGTCTGAGGAGGATAAACTTGGATATATTTTTATCGCGTTTCTACCTTGCTGACCAATGAAATATGCTTGTTGATTAAGTGAAATCTACACTGGTCTATCAACGCTAATAGCAATTGAAGATAAGGCTACACTAAGCTAGGCTGGGCATTCTCTTTTGTTTGCTGATGGGCATCTCTTGTGGTTACCTTGATACGATTGATGTCTGAGCACTGCGCCCACTAATCAGGAGGTTGAACCAAATGGTTATAATAAAGAAGCATTCAAGTCTTTAATATGTACAGAAGCAGGCAAAATTGACTTATGCAATTACCACTCAGACGAACATGATTGTCAATGCCTTTGAGCTTGTGCAGCTACGCTGCAAATTTGACAAACACAATCCTGCACATCGACTTAACCTGTCGTAATCGTTCCGTGACCAAATGCGAATATTGGCTTGCAAATAGTCTGTCAGGGTAAAACAATTCATTTGGATTGCTGCAACCTCTAGATGAACGAGGGCTTCAAATCCATGTTCACTGGTAGATATGTCATTGATAACCTGACAAAGAGTGAACAACAGAGAGACAGAATCCAGAATGGGACTTGTGACATATGTAGGACTATGCAGTGTGTAAACTGGCACAGCTTACAGTACTTTGCTGAATGATGAACTAGATATCGAAATTGAAAAAAAGGTCGTGCCTTTATTCCGCAGGAGAGAAGTTACCTGTCCAAGATGACCGTAAAACAAGCCATATTCACCAGTTTTCCACACCACCGTCATTACCAATTAACGAATGTACAGGAAAAGATGAGTGTGAAACAATAGACAAGTGATTGGAAAGGAAAAGAGAACGGAATCACGCTGATCGAAGTCATCTTTACGGACACAGTTGATATCAATCCGCTACTGACGCATTATGATTGCCGTCATGGCAAATGATTTTGTGATTTTGTGCTATTGACTAGGAGGACGGATGTGCTAGTTTCTCATTTAAACAAGAGTTGATGTGGTTAGAAAGTCGGCTACTGAAATTTCAACAGAGAGAAGCCTCGCACTGCTTCAACAAACTGACTGGCATTACTATTCAAGCGTGGCTAGGGTTAAAATGAGCCCACTATATTGTACAATATCACTCTAGTGGCTGCAGAGATAGTGGCGAAAACACGTGTGAGTGGAGATTGTTAAATGGATTACATGAATACAGAATTATGCTAACACCAACAATGACAGCTAGTACCTAAAGACACTCAACAATGCTTGAAACTGATCATACAAGATTCTAAGTGGACCACATGGCGATACGTGTCTTGTGAAGTCTTTAAAATACGGAGAAAGACAGACCCATGGTATACCGAGTGACTTCGCCGAAAGTAGCACGATTGCCCAATAATCCTCGCACGGGAAGTAGACATATAGCGCACGACCCAATGCACACACAGAAGAAGGTTCTGAAAGGAACGAAGCTCTCAGGTAAACTTTGGCTTATTGTTGTTTATGCTGCCCTAAGAAACAAGTGTGTACTGATACCACAAACGAGAAGTGTGCTGACAAAATGCGTCAAATACAGTTTTGACGTGTCATCACATTTCAAATACTTTTTAAAGTACTTTTGTTATTTTAGTTATACATGTGTTCTGGAAGCGCGCAGTAGTACTCAGGAATTTGATGCTATCTGACAAAATTGCTAGTTTAGGCCTCAGAAAATTCCGTATATGAAGTGGATCACGTGGAGAATTCGTTTGCTGAGATAAATGAAACTGATTTCACTAAGATTCAGTTAATCTAAATGCACATCTCCTAAGGACGAACATGTAGAATACAGAAAATTCCATTGTCTATCATGGAAATGTATGCTGACTTTAGCATAGTTCAACTCCAGTGGTGTGGTAACTGCTTTTGACGCGTTGGGCCTTAGTGATATTTTTCATCCCGGCGGTTGTAAAATCGTGAATACTCGCAATGACGAACAGACCTACAGTATTTCTTTTTGTAGAACAGCAAGCAAAGATCCACTTTTAGACTGCTGCTGTAGTTGCAGGTATTTGGGTTGTTACAATACCTGTAGCAAAATTTACACACACAACTTTTATGCTTTATTTGCGGCAAAACTTTGCTAACTACCAAAATTCTGTCCATTGGCAAGTTTCCTTTATGTAGAAAATTGTCAATTTTGCTAGTCTGGTTTGGCTCGTCGCTAGCAGAAGGTAGCTCTTCTTATACCTGAGATTTGAAAAAGAGCGCCCATAGCTGGTAACATTACTAGCTCGGGTAAAGAAGATTTGTTGCAACATCACAATATTTGGTGCAAATTCTTCAAGGTGATATGTCTGTATAAAGCACAAAAGTTTAAAAGGTCCTTTGCTCGTGTGTTTCTTGAAGCTCTCACGAAATATTGCATTATTTAGCGTTCATCAGAGATTCCAGTTTTTCTATATGAACAATGAACAAGGATTTATAACGGGTAAAACAGTAGGTGCTTGACATGTCCCACAGAGTGTATAGGGTGAGAAAAAGATATATCAAGGGATAATGAAATCATCGGTTCGGGCGATTACAGATTTAACTGCACTGCCGTATAAAGGGTTTGCAATTATAATGTACGTACACAAAGGCACAAGGCGAGTGGTTATTGATCACGTAACAGGCGAAAAAAAATAAAAAATAGCAAGGACAACGCTTATTCGTGTGCAAATATTTTGGGTCGACGGGACATATAAACCCAGTTTCTATAGTCGTAGCGCTTATCAAATTTTGTGCAAGTGGTTTGGAGTGACTCATTCTCGAGTAGTGTTTTGGCACTGTCCACTGTCGGTTGGGCATTAGTGTCACCATCTGGTGGCCATGGGCTATAGCACGTAGTGTAAATGTGACAGAATATCGTCAAGGCGTTTTTTGAAAAGGCGTAGGGTGGCTGCATTAATTACATGTTCCGAGAGGACGTTCCAAGGCTGTAACACTCGAAGGGAGAAATAGTTTCTCCGCCATTCCAGACGGCTGTACTGCGCGACCAGCTTAAACAGATGACCTCTTAACCGGATGTTTCGACTGAGTATCAGAAGGGAAACGCATGGGTGATTGGGGTTTCTCATGATCAGGTACACCATTATGAGATCGCCCCTTAGACGCCGATAACGTCCACTGTATATTTTGAGGGTCTTCAGCCTGAGTGGGTAGGGGAGGCTGGTGAAACTTCTGGCAATCTTCGTTGCACTAGGTTTTGCGGTATCGAGCGCGGTGAGATGGTGCTTGTGCCAGGGTTGCCACGCTTGAATAGAGTATTCCGCATGCGGCCTCACGTACACACTAAGCATTTTTGGAAAGACGGAAGGGTCAAACTTCCGAAAGCTCTGCAAAGAAGGTCGAGGTGCTGGTTTGCTTTCTTAGATGACTTTTTAGTCTTCCTCAAACAACCGAGATCATCTTGAACGGTCACGCCGAGATTGCACCCGTGAGAAGCCCGCTGTAGAATTTGTGATCCTAGGCGCTACTTATGCATACTCTTGTGACGCATGCTGAGAACTTTGCACTTTGTAACGTTGAAATGCAGCATGTTCTCGATGGATCATGTGCACGCTTGTCCAGTTCCTCCCGTAACACTGTGCGATCCTCTACTGCCGTTATAGTAGCCATACCTTTAAATCATCAGCAAATAGCAAACAGTTAGAAGATAGTACGCTAGCGAGATCATTAATGAAAACCAGGAACAGGCGGGGTCCAAATACCGAGCCTTGAGGTACGCCACACCGAACTTCGATCGATTCCGACAGATTGCACGAGAAAGTTTCCTATCCAGCCCAGAACAGGATCGCCGATTCCATATTTCTGGAGTTGGTGGAGGAGAACGCGATGACCTAGACGGTCGAATGTCTTTGGGAAATCCAAATAGGTCGCGTCGACTCCTACACCAGCGTCCACAGATTCCGTTCAGCTTGCACGAGCAATCAACAGATTGGTGGTACAGGAGCGATTATGGCAAAATCCGTGCTGCTCCGGAACGAGAATTTTGTTGTTCTCCAGCTACCTTATCAAAGCCTCAGCTATCATAGACTCCATAACCTTGAAGATCACAGGAATTTGTGTTATCGGGCGATAATTTGCTGGTTCAGCACGGCTGTCACTTTTGTATATTGGTGTGAAGATTCCGTGCTTCCACATGGTGGGGACGTGCATCTCGTTCAGACATCGTTGAAAAAAATTGCTACTGGCGCCGCCAAACTCATGGCAGCAACTTGCAACGCCTTCGGGCGAATGCCCTCCACACCCGGGGAGCTGATCTCGCGCACAGACATCAGCATCTTAAGTACAGCTGTGGAGGTAAAGGATATGCGATCAAGCCCTTATGGAGACGTTATATGCTTAGGCAGGATGATGATGATTGCACGCTTTGGAAGGTACGGCAAATTGATGTCCAAGGTCGTTGGCCGCCAATTGTGCGGTTTGTGCTAACCCGCATGCTGTGTGCAGAGCAGGAATACCGAGCTTAACACGGCGCGAGTTGTTTA